TTTTTATTTATGGTCTTAAATAAAAATTAATGATTACAGATATTACGTTTGTACTGTATAAGATTGCAAAGGAAGAACATGCATTTTGATCTTTTTGGCTCGATAATGAAAGTGGAAAAAATTATTACGGGCAAATACGCCTGAAAAAATTGATAAAAGCACGCCACTGTACAGGTCATCCCAAATAGTCCCTTCGGATTAGAAATCGCAGGACGGAGCAGGAGCAGGACAGTCCAGGAAGGAACAATGGCTTGCGGTAAATCGTTTGACCCGAGGCGAACTGTAAACAAGCCGTTCGTTTTGCTGTCTTCGGTTACTTTCTATGTTCACACTCTTGTAGGGGAGACAGAACACTGCATACGTCAACAATATATTTCGTCTCCGGCTCCACCTCCCCGTATTTGCCAATAAAGATAAAATGAATTACCGACCCTAAAAGGAAACCCGACATTGACCTACGTGTTCGACTTGATTAAAATTTTTAACAGATATTAAAATTTTCACCCTGCGATATTAAAGGGTAAAAACAAACACCGTTGTTGTTTGTTGTTGTTCGCGAAAATTATCTTTAAACCTTGCCGTGCTTGTAAAATTTTAAACCCGTACATTTCGCTCTCATTGGCTGAAAAACTTGGTTAATCCTATTGGTTATTCAAAAAACTCCCACGCGTCACTTTATTTAAACTAATCACTCCTGTTGTGAAGGTGCGAAAGATCCTTCACCGTGCAACCTAAAAAATAACCTCTTATCAGGAACGTCAAGTTGTTACAAGCTGTGAACTTCATCCTCGACGTCGAGCACTTCTTTTTCTTTGCCAGCTTTCAGTGATTTATGGTTTTACTTACCACATATCAAAGCTGTTTATAAAACAAATTGCCCGGAGAAGGGCTATTTATTTCGCCGGTGTTATTCAAAAATTGGCTGTTTACACGTTGTGGGTAAGATTAGATTCGCAACAGAAGGTTTTCGGGCCGATTCGAAGGAAAAACAGCGAAATTGAGTGAGAAAAAGGATATTGGGGATAAATTTGATGCGAGTTTAAGAACGTTTCATGGTAAAATAAATTGATCTTTTGTGAGTACGATTTATTATTTTGTGGTATGTACGTACATAAGTGCGAATTTATTTTCATTAAAATACGGATAAATGCTCAGAATGATAGTTTCATATTAATTCAAACTGTTTTTTATTATAATATATCTTTTTACTCGTTTTAACGTTTACAGAACAATTCATTTTTAGAAAAATTTGATGTTATTTTGAATTTATGAGTTCCAAGGTTATATGTTTACCAGTAAAAGCGGATGAGGGTATATTAAAAATTAGAATAAAATGTTCCTTGATTCTGCAAATTTGCCCTAAGGGGAAACGCTTAGCGTGGAGAGCGGCGTAATTTTAAGATGCTGTTTTACAGGCATAAAGACGCACTTAAGATGAAAAATACAATTGTTAACGTTTCTTATTTGCATAAAGACACCATAGACAAATAAGATCTTATGAGATTTAAAATTTCTCCCCTTTGTTAATGTATTTATCGCCGCTGCATCGTTTAATATTGTATAAATTATTTTTGGAGTGTGAAGTAAAATTGCCATGGTTGGGTAGAAATTAACTCGCAGGTAAATTTAGTATTTGCGTGTATAAAAGTAAGTATTCGTTGATTATTACAAATTGTGATTAAGACAAATATGATATTGCTCTTTCTTCAGTGTTACAATAAAAGATTTATGCGTTCCTTGTTTTATAGGCTACTTCAAAAGGAATAATCGAAAAGACGACCATTATTGGGGATTTATTATATTTTTCCCAGGATAAAAGAGATAAACTATAGCTGATGCATTGAGAAAATTCTATTTTTGGAGTTCCGTTTTATCCCTCAAGCTCTGTATATCCTAACCGCGATATTTACTAACCCGAAAAGGGTCGAAACTATTTCGCAACATACGACAAAATCTAAATTATTGCATATTGCTTTCTGTCCGATTCTTATAGTTATTCGATAAGAAAGTGTTCTTATTGCTTCATTTATTAAAAAAAAAACACTATTCAAAAACTAATCTTAATCAAAATATAAAACGTTCACCTATCCCGTCAAATTCGAATAAAGTACCACTTTTAATGAAAGTTTTACACGCAAAAATATTTCATTGGATTTTTGAGACAAAGCATATAGAATCAGTAGGAATCCGTTCGTTCACTTCTGTTCAATCTTGTAATTAAAACTGACGTATATGTCTACAACTAAGGGGCGGTGGTACAAAGCTGCGCTGCAAATGAAAAATCTCCGATACTTGAAAGAATTTCACAAATGGAGAACGGGTTGGATCAAGGCAACGGTAACGCAACGCGAAAAGTGTTTAATTCGGAAAATCACCGCGAGGCTGCTAATCGCTATCGGCAAATTCTCGCTTCAATAAATCCTACTCCCTAATCCACACCCATGCTATGTATTTTCAATTTCACGGAAATACCTGTTATACTATATTTTATAATTCAATGTACCTGCACCTACTCCTCCAACGAATTATTCCATTTATAAATTACACATTTTTAATGTTACTATTAGAAGAGGTAAATTGTAGTGTATTATCAATGGAATAATTTATAAAGGGAAATTTAAATAAAGGGATAAAGCTTGCATTCAGGATTCAAATTCTTCTAAAGAAAAACGTAAATAAAAATCTGAAGGTGAAATACATATCTGCCATTCTTTTTTTGTTCTTTTTGTTTCAAGGATTTATTTAGGTAAACATCAATTTACGCGAGGCAAAGTGAGGAAAAGTTTTCGCTCGGCAGGCAAGAGTGGAGTTTAGCTGCTTAATATTCAACCGAATCTGGCTTATATTAAATAAAACCCTGATGTGTCACTGGTTTTTATTGAAATCGCACTCAGTTAATTTGTTTTTTTGTCTGGTGCTCGCATTGTACGGTGTTCTCTATGTCGGATCTAATACACTTTCTTTTTCTTTTATTGTTTTTGTAATAAACTTTGCGAACCATACTTTAAGAAGTATTTTATTAGATTAGGGGTAATACATCCCCTTTCTTGAAAAAAATTTAGAGCTTGAATTAAGAAAAAGCGGACTTGGCGGGGCTTTTAAAGGTTGTTCATTACGCGAATATAAAAAGAAAAATTACTCCAAATAAACAGAGCAATAAATTGATACTCTTTTTTATTTTCACCTTAATTTCAATTATATTTTTTTGTTATAAGTATTTTGATTAAACAGCTAATAAAGTACGTATCTAATTAAGTTTGATTGTATTGATAAGCGAAGAAATCCTTTTTTTTTTCGTAAAATATATTTTCTTACAGCACCCTCGCACCTTTTATTAACTGGCTTATTCGAGCAACAAGAGCTTATTCGAAGGGAATAAAATAAAATAAAAGCAGTCATTCGACGATCTAGGTGGAAAACGTATAAATGAGAATTGCTAACTGTAGTCTTCTTTCACCTAAATCCTCTGATTTGAATAAAATCCAAGTATCGTTGCCAGGGTGGCGGATAGCGTAGTTTATCAGACACATCCGTTCAATCAGGGTGGCTGCAACCCCAGAACGTATTTCAGCGATTTTTATTAAATGGATTCTTCGAGTTCGAGAGAGACAAAGCACGGGACGCAGGTCGTTTCTTGGCGAAATTCAGTCCATCTGCCGGATTTCCTTCCATCTCAATGAGTCCGAATGCTTCTAAACGCCTGCCAATGGGGGCCAAACGGCGAAAATCATTGCGGGATAATGACATTAAACTCATTAAATCAGAATAAGAAGCCGTGATGCCTTTTACCGGCTTCATAAGCTTCACTGAGTTACTGAGTAGTTTTCCGAAAAATCTGAACAGATAGAGAATTAAATAACCACCCGATGGCTGAGGTACAAATTCTTAAATTAAACTTTCACGTTATATAAATATATCGCTTCGTTTGGATTTCGAACAAATAGGGGGAATTACAGTTGATAAATTAGGGTGGATTTTATATTAAGTTTTAAAAATCATACAGAACGCTCCCTTTATTATTAGACTTTTGGTTGGTATTTCACATTTTGTATGTACTTATAAAATATGAAATTCGAAACATATACTCTTTGAAGATCAAAGTTAATCCACCTTAATAATGTTGTTTGGTAAAAATTTGTGTAATTGTTTTTTTTATTTAGGAGCAGGATAAATAAAAATACTGGCAGATAATTATTTTTTAACAACCGTTTTTTTCGATATGACTTGTTGTGAAACGAAACAGTAAATTTGTTTGATGTTTGTTTATTATTGCTAGGTATTAAACGTTTGTCACATTTTGTTATTTTCATTTGGATAACTGCTGATTGTAAATCACTTAAACGGTAGATTTTGCTGTGTTAAAAAAATTGACAATAATTATAGCCTAAAAATCCAGTGGTAATAGGTTCCCTAAATTTCCTGTAAAATTTGGTTAAAACTTGGTAGTCTATTGTTCAGGAAATGCACGCAGACTTGCCGAAAAGGCAATAAAGAAGCGATTAAACTGACCAAGAGTGAAAGCAGAAATCTGAAAAGGGGCTATAAAGGCGGAGGACCGAGGCGAATACCGCAGAGAAAACACAAACGTGCTCGTTAAAGAAATTGCCCTATTGATGACCGCAGATTTTATCAGTGCCTTTTTCTTTTCGCACTCTACTCCGATACCATCACACTAAATACATAACATACTGTTTGCTGCACGGAATCAATGCCCAGGAGCCGAAAAAGACTTATCTGTCTCGCACATAAAAACTAATATTCCCAGTCAGCAATGGCTTCAGATATATTTTCTTTTTATATACCTTTAAATTACCTAATTACTAAAAGCCCGTGAGCAAGAAGAAGAAAAAATTGATTGAAATAAACATCGATACACTAAATTTTTAATATTTTATGCAGGAAACTTATTTTAATAACCTACTTAATTAAAATTTTATCCTTAATAACTCTTAATGATTAACTAAAATTATAGATATAATAATGTTTAAGCAATACGTATTTATAAAAAACAGCAAATTTTAACACTACAAAAATACAATCATTTAACATTAACATTAAGGCAACTATTTCTTTACAAATTCATCTGCAGCCATTTCCTCGAAATTGTTAGAAGAATCGTAAACTGCTCGAACAAATAGGTTGATCATAAATTTCAATAGCAGCAAAAAGAATTGCGTAGCATCTTTGTACGAGGCTTCCACGACTGAAAAAAAATAAGCATGAATTTATTGGTTATAATTGATTTGCGTTGTTAAAACACTCACATTACTTAAATAATATTAAAGAAATTAAATAACTCACCTCTCGGACAATCTCTGGGATCACAAATATATGTTTTGAGTATGTGCCAAGCAAGAATGAGAGTGCACGTAAATGCCAAAATGGTTAAACTCATTTTTAAAGAAATTTACAAAAGTGATTGTAAAATTATTGACAAAATATAGGGCAAATGTCAAAATGCATATGATGACTGACATAAATCGTGTTTGTGAAAGAATCTGCTTTTTAATTAAGCTTACAATCAAGTAGATACATTGTTATAATTTTTTTAACTACATTTTGTTAACTAATGTACCAAACATTACCTCTTAATAGAGTTTGGGGGGTTTCTTGATTGGTATATTTAGCCTGAAACAAGATTTTAATTCCCTTAGATGGCCAGACGGAATGTATAGGGTTGTAAGGTCGGAGGAAAAGTCAAAAGTTTTCCTCTTTTATAACATTATAAATGAGGTAATATCCTTTTGCATTTTGGTTGCATGCTTTAATCTCCCGGCAATAATTAAAAACAACGCTCATTTTGTCTTTACACAGATTTTCTCCGTTCGCAGACGTATCTTGAGACAGCAGACTTTAATCTCCATCAATCTCTTTTTCGCGCTTAAAATATCCGCTCCTTTTTTACCTTTAATTTAATTATCCAATGGGATTATATTTGCATCTTAAATAAAAGGTACAAAAGTTAGCCATTACACATAACTATTTTTTTTTCGTAAAGAATTACCTCTATATATTATGCCTTCAATTTGTCATAAAATTATAAATTATAACTAACCCGTGAGAATAAAGACAATTATTTTCATTTTAACTACAATTTATTATAAAACATAGAAACTAATTAGGCGATAATTGGTACAATTATAAAAAATTCCCCTAGCGATTTGATTGTCTGATCCCCGTCTATGACTTCACTTCGAATACTTGACAAATCACGTTTTGGATGCCACTCCGGGGAGAAAATATACACTTTAGAAGTTCCCCAGGCGTTGAACCGACAAATATATAAATATATTTACCGTCAAGGTTCTCCTCAACAAACATATCATCCCTTCAGGACAATTTCTTTACTTTTCCTGTTAGATCCTTTCCCTTGATGTTGAGGGTCTTTCAAAGGCAACTAACCACTTTACGATATATTTCATAAAAATAGCAACTATATATTTGAATATCTAATACTGGTAGGATATTAAAATTGTACAAAATAAAAAATGTTACCTTTATTTACCATTGCATCATTGAACGTACTGCAGTTGGTGTAAAATGAAAGGAGATAAAGAATACCCAAGGAAAACGATACAGTCTGAGCCGTATTATAATGTCAATGCGGCAAAGTTTCAGGAATAATTAGTTCCTGCTTTGGTTTTGTCGAGTGAACACTAAAATCAGCATTTGGGATACGTACAAAAGAGCTGTCGACTCAGACAATCCCAATTTTGAATTCAGTCCTCATGAAAACTTAATAAAACCAGTTGGATCAGGTTGTTCCATGCGCTAAGGATTCCCTAAATGTGTTACGACACCTTAGAAGATACAAGCCAATGAAATTTAAAAGAATCAATATAGGTACTTAAGAATGCAAAGCATGGAAAATGAGATGATTTGAAGTTGAGTAATTTAATTAATACAATTTGGAGAAATCTTTTGAATAGGGCCAATCGTAAGGGTAACTTTTGCCTATGGTAAAATAAATACCAAGTCATAAATAACAAAACAGTAAATGCGAGAATTACAGGAATTATATGTAGAATTTGTATGAATCATAACTTATTTAACTTGATAACAGACTGTAATATTCAAATGAATAATAAATACCTAAACGGAAGTGTGTCTATTTAATTTGCTTTTTGCCAATTTGAAGTAACGAAATGTATTCTCAGATTAGTAAGCACAAAACGTAGAAACGGTGAAAATACGAAGTTTACAAGTTCACTGAAAGCGAAGCAGTGACTTGTTATCAACACTCCCGGCACATTCGCTCGCAGTTATTTAACACATCGAATCTGCTGATGTTCCGACCTGCATAAATAGTGAAACAAATGCGAAGAAATCTCCCTGTTATGGACGTGAATGATACCGAAGTTTTGCTTCTCCGAATATATTCCGGTTTTCAGTAAAATCAACATTTACAGGCTCCGGATAACACGCCGCACGAACATTTTCCGCAAAAACTGACCTGTGTCTCATATGATCGTTGCTATTTTTTATTTGTAATGAACTTTTGCATATTCTCGAAACGAGCGAATACTAAATCTCTGCAATTGTCGGATTTCAATGTGCAAATAGGTATCAACGAGCAGGTATCAGCGAATGTACAACGTTGAAATAAACTGTGAATTTTCTGATGCTTCTCATTTTGGTAAATCCAATTAAAATACCCATTCTCGTATACCTATTACACTCGTACGTATCTAAAGCATAGGTACTCAAAACAATATAGTAACAATAGTTAAGGAGACACACTAAATTCAAATTAAAGTAATTGGTAGGTAGGTACCATAAATATGCATAGTATAGTAACCAGAAATTAAAAAATAAATTGTTAGGCAAAGAGGAGAAGGAAAAAATGTTCGAGGCTTTTGTATTAAAGTAGCATAATAATAGGAACGATACCCTGTTAAGAAAGAATTTAACTTTAACGTTTTTAACGACTCCGTAAACGTCGAGAGTTACCCTCCCTTAGGTAACATTATATATACGTTCATCTGAACTTCGAGAGTTTTTTCAAAATAGTCGGCCGGCATTGTGCTGCCAAAGTTTGAAATAAATAGCGACATTTAGAGGTAGTTATAAAATATATATTACGTGGCAATATATAAAACAAATGGTCTAATGCCTTCGGTGGATAAAAGAATTTAAGATAGGAGATACGCGCTGGCCAGTCATACTGGTAACAACAAGGGTCCAAAGATAAAGTAGCATACAGTTATCTCCGGCATACATGCACGTTTTCGCACATTTGCCTGCGTTTCTTTTCATGATAGCCTACCTACCTTCATCCCCAGCGGCGGGGACTCCCCCATTTTCTACTCCATTCAATACTTCTATTCATACAAGAACACAGAAATAGTAATATAATAAGTTCATAATAAAATAATTAGCAGTTCTTCCGAATTAATAAGAATTTATTCAATGTATTCAATACCACCTACAATTAACGTATAAGTAACAGAGGTATTTATTTATAAATATAAGAAAACAAATTGATTGAACTACAGTAATAAGTATTTCATTAGTCCCTAAATTATGTATTTAAGTATTAAAGCAAAATTAGGAAACAATATCTTAGACGAGCCGCCCATGATTCTTTTGTGTTCAGAAGAGTCGATGCTTCGCTAGTAGCTGGAAGAAAATTCGCAGATTTATTGTAGCGGAAATTATTCTTGCTATTTTTATCTAATTCCGCTTTTCCTAATTAAATTAATATTTATTGCTTTTATCTGTGCATAACTAAGCGAATGCTTTTATGTCGTAAGCGGTATGCGAAAAATATGAACCTCTTAACGCCTTTAAAATCAGTCACAAATAAAAAGTATTAAAAATTTCGTATAGGTAGGTGTTAAAATAAAAATGGATATATAATTTAGATAAAAAACGAATATAAAGCCATTTTAAAACTATACAAGGAACAATCAGGTAATTTTTAGTACATTTTTCTTTAAATACATATATATTACCTTGAAGGCCTTGATTATAAAGATAATCTACTTACTTCTTCTTGTCACTTCGATCGATTTCATTAAAAAAGACCATTAATTAAATTTTTCTGATATTTAATGAGAATATATGGTTCCTAAGTTTTTGTATCAGTGAAGAACATATTTTTCTAGGGGCTGAAAATTCTTAAGGTGTCGAACAGTCAAAGGGCATGTCAATTGCGTCGAATATTTTGCGGATATTCCTCTTTCATTTTCCATTTGAGCTCGGCGCTGATCCTTTTCATTTAGGCTCTACAATTAAGGCAAATGCCACAAAGTTATTTCAGATATTTAATTATAATTAAAGGCCGTCTTGGCTATTTACAGTTTGGGGTAATTCACTTTTTATTAATATTATGAATACGTTCGCAGTTTACACAGGCCCTCATTCAGGCAATTTCGAGTGAGGGAATTAAAAATTGGTGTCTGTTAAAATATTGAATTTTGTTCAACCATTTTTATTACCTTATCATAATTCTATCATTGCAATACGGATTTATTTATTTATCAAATAGCATATTTATTTTAACTAGTAAAGTTGAAAATTTTATGTGGAGTCCGATTCTGTGGCAGTTGAACGTAATTCGAAAATAATTAGAATCCAATAAAGAAAGCGGAAGGAAGTTAAAGGGACAGGAGCCAAAAAGTTTACTCCCACGTGTAAAATATACTTTTAAATTATGATTAAAGACAAATCCATCGCGGAGTTTTTAATTTAAACTGATGGATTTGCCAATTAATTGTTAACTTCGAAGTGGATTAGCGCCTCACAATGCGGTGCACGCTTGGGAAAAATCACTAATTGAAACCTAAATAAATTTTAATTCTTTCGTTTTGCCTACTAAACAATGACCTTTTATTATCGATCAACATGCATGGGTATTTTTTAAAACTAATTTTTGTAATAATTAGTTCTAATGGGAAAATGACATAATTCATTCTGATTAATTTGTTTTATATATGACACCAGCACTGTGCCTCAAAGTTACCAGATTTTTTTATATTATTCGAAAGTATCTTGATAACTTATTCAGAATAAGTAGGTATCGAATGAAAGTTATTTTAGCTATAGATCTTCATCCTAAATCTTCTTGTTTACCCGGTTTCGCTGATCGATACCGTTGTTTTCTATCAAACAGTAACGTTTATTCGTTAGTGCGCCAAACGGCATTCGACCGTTTCCATCGTCACTTAGAACATGAATTAGAGAGCCTCGGTTTAAAACGAATGTCAACAATAACTTTAAATACAACAGTATGGCGAATTTTACATTCCATAATCCATAACTCCTGTGCAGCTCTCAGAATCCTTTAAAAGCTTTTTAAATTCGAAAACAATCTCTGGAATTTATATCATCAATATTACGATTTTATTTGAACGATATATTATAAAAGGTAAATTCTAATTATAACAATTCTTTATTCGTAACAAAATAGGAAGTTGAAAAAATTTTGACCTGTGG